GGAGGAGCCCCAACCCCCTTTGACCGCAACTACGGGACCAAGCTGGGAGTGAAGGCCGTGCTGTGGATGTCGGAGAAGCTGCAGGAACTCTTCTCTGAGGGTGAGCCAAGGGCTGGGGGACCTGTGGTGAGCTGCAGGGAGGCTGGTGGCTGGAGCAGCCCCTCCTGCTCCAGGCTTGGCCACTCGGCCCCTGGCAAGGTGGCCATGGTTGGCTGTGTCCCCCTCCCAGGGCGTGTGTTTGCTGACTCGGAAGACTCTGCCTGTGTGATTGGGCTCAGGAAGAAGGTGGTGGCCTTCAGCCCTGTGACAGAGCTCAAGAAAGTCACTGATTTTGAGTAAGTCCCTGTCCCCATACCCCAGTGGTTCACCAGGTCCCAAGGGGACCTTGCTGGGTTGTCCCCAGGGCCACTCTAGAGCCGTGTCCCCTCCCCATGCAGGCACAGGCTGCCCCAGGAGCAGTGGTGGCTGAACCTGCGGCTGATGCTGAAGATGCTCGCCAACTACCAGATCAGCCTGACCGAGTACATCTCGGGGAAGATGGAGCACGTCACCCGCCGCACGCTCAGCATCGAGAAGGGCTTCTAGTTTCGCTAGCCTGAGTCGTAGCCCCCCTCCGTGTCCTCTCCATCCCCATGTGCTGCTCGGGGAGCACCAGGTCCCCTTTGTTCTCAGTAGCCCTGTAGCTTCATCACCCTTAAAACAGGCAGAGCCTGGTCTCAGCTCCCAAAACAGCACAATCCCGCCCCAAACTGCTGCTCCAGGGTCTGTGCAGATGCAGAAAAGGTGTTGCTAGAACCCAGCTGCACCTCCCAGACCTGTAATCATCCCTTAATAGTTTATTCCTATTATTTAATGATGGGGTATCTTGATTCCATATTTAGCAGCTTGACCACCTGAGCCGACTGCTGCTCTGAGTTGCCCGCCCTGCGTGCAGGAGAGGAGCTGAGGAGGATGCGGGGCCGTCCTGGAGTGGGGAGGATCTGCTCCTGGGGGTTTTTGGTTGCCCGGTAAAGCTCCATTCTCCCATGGGCTTTGCCCAGTGGGGTGTCTGGAAGGCTCAGCACAGAGCACCGGTCCTGGCAAATCCCTCTTCCCCAACCACCTTGCATGACGCTTGGCTGCGACCGTCACCGCGTGGCCCCGGGTGCCACGGCTGCCAGAGCCATGATCATCATCTCACCGTTGCTCTGTGATCCCCCCAAATCTTGTACCGTTCGCGGTGCTGCTGCTCTCCTCCTCTAGAGATAAAACCCGCTGGAGCCAAACTTGCCTCGCCAGAGCGTGGTCATTGTGTGCTGAGTCCCCACGGGGAGAAATTGGGGGGCAGAGCTTGGGTTAGGATGGGGATGAGCAAAGCTGGATGCTTTACCAGAGCTGGATTAATGCTGGGCCAGGATCTTTCCTTGCTTCGTGCGTCCTCAAAGCCTGGGAAAGTGGGACTGGGTTTGGCCTCTCCTTGGCCAGGCCACGGCGGGTGCAAGGTCAGCATCCCTCTGCAGACAGACTTGGCAATCCTGGAGAAACATCACTTCTCCCTTGTTTTGGTTCCCACCTTCAAAGAAAGCGCAGAAGTGATTTATTGAGGCAATGTGTTTGTTTGTTAATGCAGTTTCTCAGGGCGGCTGCCAAACACGCCGGCTCCTGCATGTAACACTTGGGCTTGGCTGAGCTCCGCCGTGCTCAGCCGATGCCAGACGGCTGCTCGTAGCCCCTTTCCCAGGCCACTTTCCTCCTGGGGCTTTCAACTGATGGCTCCAGCCTCTGGGACACGGCCAGCACCAGGACACATCACCATCTTTTGGGTGGATCCCCGTGGAATTGTCCCCAAGTGACAAGTCCCCCTTGATTTCAGTGCTTTTCCCCTAGCTGGCCACGTTACTTGTTTTAGGTTCTGGAGGAAGATCTGATATTTATTGAATCTTCCTTGCCAGAGCTGGACAGGCAGAGAAATAGCAGACCTTGCTGATGGAGGCAGCGTTGCTGCTATTCCAGGCAAGTATCTGCTCTGGGGACCCCATTGCTGCTATTTCCAAGCAAATATTTGCTCTGGGGACCTTGGGCAGAGACCTGGCTGCTCCTCCCAGCACATGTGCCACTTTTGAGGAGCCCCAAATGGGACCTTCTGTCAGGCACAGACCCCTGCACCGCAGTGGTCCCGCACACCCACCTCACCATCAGCTCCCGAGTCCCTGAGGATGCTTGGAACGTGAGTTGATCTGGATCTGCGCCTGCGGGCAGACAGCTGCTGGCCTTTTCCATGACTGGGAAATGTCCATCCTCATCACTCGATGGTCCCCTCTGAGGCAGGTCAGGGCAAAAGCTGGTCCACTGAAAAGCCCCATGGTTGTACCAAACCCAGGTGGAGCATTGTGCCCGGGTAAAGCTGGCTGGCCCCAGGCGTTGGGCTCCTCTCCAGCCTGTGTTTT